TGTGCATGATATCAAATGATTTGATTATGAATTTGGATTCAATTTATATGGATGTTCGACGCATTAGATATGCTTACTCAAGCTTCACCGCTGAGCGTGTAGTATGTTTTATTTGCTACACGCAGGTTAATAGAAAGAATGATGTGACGTGATTCTGGAGGCAGGCGGAGGCGAGATTGTCGGAATGGATGTGATGGTTTTGAATTAAAGAACATAAACAAATTATGTTTGTAATTATGATTTGTTAAGCTTCCGCAATATTGAAAACTCCGCACTGTATATGTTACGAAAAATATTATTGTGATAAATAAAAGTGTTTGAAAAGTTTTAAATTTTACGATTACCAAGTTAATACTTTAGTCTGAAAGGGGCTGCAGACCTGGACGGATTAGGGTGTTACAATTTGGTATCGGAGCAAATGGTTTTAAAACCGATCTTCGGATCAAAATTTGAATTAAAAAAAAAATGTGTCAGTCACATCCACGACTTTCGCATCCCTCTGCCCCAGGAAAGGTATGAGAATTTACTTAGTAAATATTGACTTGTTAAAATTCTCATTTGATAACAATTGTTAGTACTGAAATTATATCGAGCATAGACTCAAGTCGAATTTTCGTATTCGGTAAAGAAACAAAAGAATAAAAAAATATATGAACCTCTGATACGATATCAACGTACGCATCGCATCGTGAATGACGAAGTTGATCTGTACAAGAAAAGTCACACGAAAGTGAGATGAACCTGAAGAACGATTCGTGTTGATATATGTTGAGAAACATCTGTGAAGCTGATGTCAAAGATCCTCATGTGGACTCAAGGCGATCTAATCGCTGATTCAAACACGAACGTTTAGAATCAATAAACTCTACTCCCTCTGTCCCTCATAGATCTTCTCAATAGCCCTTTTTCTTTGTCCACAATAGATCTTCTCATTTCATTTTTTAACAATTAAAATACCACAACTACCCCCACTTACTTTATTTATTGCACCTCACCCACCTCATTTAATACACTCCACCCATTTTTCATTAAGGGTATTATGGTAAACTTTCACATTTTTTCAACTCTCCTTCAAAACCACCAAAAGTCAAAATGAGAACATCTTAGGGGGACGGAGGGAGTATTATCTAAAGTATCTGATACTATTGTTTGACTCATTAGGACGCATTATGCGATTCCTTAATGTGAATTGAAATCGTTCGTTAAGCGACAATTCTTTGTAAAACATCGTTGAAGTACCACACAAGGAAAATCGACATTATCCTTAGTATGGATTAACTGACTGAACGTCGTTGCTGTTGTCAACTTGTGATGAAGAATTCCTCAACTGAAGACCAATGATGGTAACCTTATAGAGGTGAAAGCAAAGCTGATTTCTAAACCGACCAAGTTCATCTCGAATATATATACGAAAACATCTCAAGTGTGAAGTCTATTCGTGCGATACCCAAAAAGAAACATCTAAGCTGAAGGAATGTACCGAAAGTATGTCACCCCTCTGATATGAACTTCCTTATATTTCACCGTTCCAAGAAATTGAAAACTCTGTCAATCTTGATCCTTGAGAGGTCCAATATTCGTAACTCTGTATTGAATATGTTTCCGTTAAAAAAAAACTCAACTATGAAGATTGCCTAAGAAGGAATCATCTGACAAAGTGTTTCCTTTATCGGAGAGTATCTGTTCTGTTCAAACGTGAATAAGGAAGAATCAATGAGACTCTATATCAACTACTGTCAGTTGAACAATTCGTTATCCTTTACTTTGTGTCATGACTTATTTGATCAGCTTAGAGGATCCATTGTATTCTCTAAGATTGACTTACGGTCAAGATACTATCACATCCCTGTTAAGAATGATGGACAAACTGACGATCAAGAATCGCTACTCTTTACTACGTATAGATGATTTGTTCGAAGAACCTGTTTGTTAAAAGCTATAGACATCTCGAACATGTTGAATGAACTGATGCCTTGCTATGAAGCGACTAACGATTTACTTGTTTATCGTCAAAAACGTCGATGTAGTCTGAATTGACTAAGTGAAACATAGGGATGCTGACTAGACAAATCGATTGACTCGTTTGACGTGAATAAATGACGCCAACAGTGAAAGACTGAAGAATGAAGCAAATGTAGCTCGCATATGACTAACCATTGATGTTTATGGATAATATTATTTAAACACAAATACAACTTGGATTACGTGAAGAAAGTTATAAATGCAATTCCAAGTCTAGTCTTCCGGGATTCACAAACTCATCATAACTAACCCCAGGTCCCGGGAAAGCTTTAGCAAATTCTAGTTTGTCTAAAAGCTCATCAACAAAGAAAGAAGAAATGAAAAGTTTCCTCTGACTGGAAGCTATGAAGTTCTGCCTCACCGCATCATCTAGAAATTTGAGTAGGTTATTGAAATAACCGTCAATGTTCAAGAGACCAATGGGTCTATTGTGTAACCCTTCAGAAGCCCACGAGATCAAGGTGAACAAACCTTCCATAGTGTCAACTCCTCCAGGAAGAATGATGAAAGCTTCCACGGCATGATTCATTTCAAAATATTTGTAGTAATTGCTGGAAACTGTGTGCTCTACGCCGTATGTAGGTCCGTAGACCCGTCGTGTTGCTATGTACCCAGGAATGAAACCTCTAACGAGACCACCATTGGTAAAGACTGTTGAAGTAACAGCTCCTTGTAGGCCAACGTTGCCTCCTCCATAAGCAAGACTAATTCTTCGCCTTATCAAATCTCTTCCTAAATCTACTGCAGTAGCCATAAACTTTGGATTTTTACCAAGAGAATGACTGCCAAGTAAACCAACGAATCTTATGGTGTAAGGAAGTGTTCGAGAAGTTCCTTCCATAATGTAAGAATGTGAGATACTCTTCTCATAATCGTGATATATATAGTCTCTGAAACCTGACCATTGATGGAAATGTAATTATCAATAGCCAAAATACGTACAATAATATGGAATCGATTTACCTACAGATGAGAACGCATTCGCCAATAGTACAGTCTGCTGACGATATGACATATTGAGACTCTTGAACAGTTAGATTTGCTATCCTGAAACATGTTCAAATCCGAGACGAAAAGTCAGAACGGCTATTTCCTAAGACAACGACCTCTTGAGTAACTTCCACAGAGTGAAACATTTGAAGGATGAAAATCTACGATTAGTAACGATAATTTGCAAACGTTATGTTTATAGCTTGTGACTCACATCCTTGAATGACTCGACTTTCTGTGTTAACTACAATACCTCTCTTGATCGTTCTTGAATTCCATTCTTTGTGTCAAAATAAAAAACCACGATTCTTCATGATACCGATCTTTGAAAACTACACTCTGTGAACTACGGTAAAAGCATTCTGATTGGAATATTATGTTGAGCCTCTCTTTGTGAACCACAAAATGGTTGATGCGATTACGTTATCTCTGAAGATTATTATCGATGATCTCATTTGACCAAACAAACTCCGTTATGACCCTACTAAGGGAATGTATGTGCAACAACCAGAGAAGAAATGACGTCACAAGGATCAAGCTGAATCATTCAAGCAAAAAAA